CATCGATATTGATGGCTGCAAGATATGCACAAAACCATTATTTCTTCTCCCACTAGAGAAAATGTCTCTTTCAGGCTATATTTGGTAGCCAACTTCGGGAAGGTAATGTCTTCGGGACATGGGATTTCTGCACAATCTAAATGTAAATCTTAAGTATGGTTGCCTCTCAGAGCTCGATGAGCAACTGTTGGCAGCGCTAGCCGGTATGACGACACTGGGCCAGAACATGATCATCCGGAGTAAGTAAGAGAAAAGATTAATGTTTCAGTGCCCAGTCTGACGGCTACATGCATCTTTGAATATGCGATAAGATAGACCTTTCTGTGTATGCTGCCCATGTGATATCATTAGCATAATCGAATCAATGAGGACATGCTACAATAGCTTCCAGGAGGAACTACACCATTTGCCTAACATACTGTTGCCCATAATGTATGCACTTTGGAGCGAGGACATAATGAGTGATTATATTAATGAATAAATGATTAAATGATTAAGAAACTTCATTTGTTCTGTTCAAGAAGGCCACAGATATAGTATTGCACAAAAAAGGTCAGTATCCGTCCTTTCTGTGTACGTATGTCTGGTGCATGGCCCTTACTGTTCTCTGTCACAATAACTAAGTCAAATGCGGGTGTGTGTCGCCCGGTATACATGTATCTCAGTCACGCATGACATTGGTGAGTTAATATCATGTCCTACAGTCAATATGAGGATGTACAAGCTCTCTTCTCCTTCTAATATCTTTGGATTACGTCCAAGACACAGAGAGATCTACTCGGCATTACAAATAACGGCCACGGTAAAGACCACACTCCATCAAGTACGCGAAGTGGCGCTATTAGTTCCGCGACATAGTGGCAGCGGGCGGGTCTGGTGGGAGCCCATATGAGTAAGTACGGACCGACCTGGTGTCAATAGCTTGCCGGCGAAACAATGTGTAGATTTTGTCATACCTCGAACACATGACGCCACAGAATCTCACTCTTTTGTAATGAACAGATGTAGAAAAAATTAAATTATGAATATTGTCTTCAATGTGAGACTTGAATATAACATTATCTAACGTATTGGTGACTATGAGATATTTTCCTCCTTTTCCACTTTAAATGGGAGTTGAATATAGACGGTTTAAGGATGGCCTTACTGCGGACGTCTAGTCTTTGGTCCAATGGGTCTCATCAGCCTGAGAGCTTTAACTATGGTTCATCGACCCGTGGAGACCTTTGCGGAGCGGGGTTTAACTCAGCTAGAACAAGTCAGATGACTATATCAACTGCCCAGTTCCTGTAAGTAAGGTTCTTAAATATGGCCCGTGGTGCAGTAGTCTGTGATGTATATGCGCAACCATCAATAGTTCAGCGGATTATCTAAAAAAAATGTAAGTGTAAGTTTGGAATTGTCTAAAGGCCTACCTACTACCTACCTACCTCGTCCCTTGACCTCCTCACGGTTCGTTGGGGGGGGGGCAAGGCAGAAGCTGTCTCCAGGCCTCTCTGTCTCTTGCAGCGGTCAGCCTTTCGGACAGGTTTAGCGACGTCCATTCTGTGATGTTGCCTGCCAGGATCGTCTAAAGGCACTGAATTTGAAACACTTTTAAACAAATCTAGATATAGGGGAATCTCGATGATTGTCAATGAGCGATTTCCCAGCCTTTTTTGGTAAAAGAAAACGTAATATGCTTGGCTCCTATGCCTTGATAGTTGAGGCAATTTTGCTACAATTTCGAAAAATTGAGATAGATATTTTGCAGAATTTGTCTGATTTTTTTCAGCTCTGCTACCGGACTACAAAAACTTTAGAGTCTGAACAGTCTTCCTCAGGGCTCATAGACTCATGATGCTTCTCCACCACTACTAGTATCATCAATACTGAATGCCTAGTATCATACAGTGGTCATGATACTGAGTCTCTCATAGTGTGACTTAAAAATCCTAATTGATATGATATGTAGATAGATCATATATGTTTGAATGTACTAATATAACCTAAATACTACATAGCTACGTCGCGTAATGCACCAGGTTTGAACTTAAAGTTGTTGGCAACTGTCTGTGCCAACCTGGGGGGAGGGGTAAAGTCTCGGTATTGAACCTGGACGACAGGACTGTCAGGGTGACAAATTATGGGTTTAGCAGTGTCACCTATCGCAATCATGACATTATTACAGCTTTGGCATGTGTGTGATTTCAGTTTAGCTGCCCCCTGGCTAACCATCAATTTCCTGATTCTGATGAATACGTATGATTTACACTTGACCTTCGATATGTTTTAATATCCAAGTACCATAGGAAGACAATCATGGGAAGACGCTTCCAAACCGTTTTCAGCCAGGTGGGCGTCAGGTGAGTTGGTAGATGGAATATAATGTATGGCCTCGTCGGCACAGAAAGCACTTAGGGTGTATCCTGGACATCATACGTGTGCTGGGATATAGATCAATGGCCACTTACCCGTGAGCTTGGGCTGTTCAATCAAGTTTACCCTCGATGCCATTTTTTCAGGAGGAAGACCTCGGAGAGCAGATATGTAATCGAGATTCATAGGCAGAAAAGCCTTTACCTTTTTGAAACCGTGTGTCGTTGCACTTTTTAATGATGATGTGACACGCTGTCTCGATTCGCCCAAGGAAAACTTGACCCGTCGTTGAGTTGGAAAACGTTAACGCAGCATGAATCCTAAGAAATTACTTTCAGTGCAGCAACTATAAATAAACATGATTTGTACGTCCGCGTTTGACCTCACATTATATTGCTGTGAGGTTTTAATTATATATGATAATAATCTTCAGAGGGCACAATTTTGTAACATCACGGGTAATACTTTCGGCTGTAGATGAATGATTCATAGAAATGTACATGTCATAGAATGACAAAAAATATGTTTGAGATTTTTAAAATATACTATTAAAATCATGAAAAATTGTACAATAATGCCGAAAAGCCTTCACCTAGTCTAATCAACCCAGAATCGCTGTTAAAAACTTGTCACACATTTTGCACGTGATCTGAACAATCACAAGAAAAGGATCAACAAATAACATAGGAGTCTCTTCACTAGATAGCTTCAAAAGGCAGTTACAGTAAGCTATATGAATTGTTCTCGGGTGTGATATTGAAGTAGCCAGCACTGCGGCGTGCCTGTCAAGCTGGTGCGTTGCGCGGAATGTTGGTTGTACCGGCTGACCAGATTCAGATTCAGTCAAAACTCAAGTGTCCAGTTTGTCAAGGACATTCTGTCAGAGCCACGCAGCGGATTGAGTATGTACTACCACGGACAAAAAATGTAAAACATTATCAAAGGAAGACATTTTAAATATATTATATCATGTACAAATATAGACGTCATCAATGAAGTATGTAAGTATATTTCAAAATGTTTCAAAAAGAGAGAAGAAGCCATTAGAACTTAGATCAATACCACTTATATATATATAACAAGTTATACATGTATTTCTTTTTTATTTTATTTTTAGCATTGTATACCTCAGACCTAATGTCAGCCTTACTTTATTACTATTGTTGTAGTACTCTCTAGTACATTGTACTTTGTACATCCATGCATTTATCCCCCCGGGGAATGAACATGCAATACTGAGTTTCACTATTAATAACGTTACATATAGTCAATAACTGTTACGTCGACGTCAACACTGAATTTGGAACTGAAATGAATTTCGGTTATGTCTATGATCTGCAGCAAACAGATCTGTCGGTGACAAAATCGTAATCAACCGGTAAGACAGTAACTAACTCCGTTAGTATTCAGTGGGCCAGACGGCATCCATCAAGACCCATCGCTCATTGTCGCTCTGATCGCAACAAAATACCAGTATGTGACGTTACAATGTTGACATCTGTCGCCAGAGGTCGCTACAGCATGTGTATTCATGATCTCGTGTCTCGCCAACCGCGAGAACGAGACGGCGTCATCTAGGGATGGTCCAAGTTTTACGTCTTTGAAGGCAAATAGTTTGTATTGTTCTGAATACATACAAGTTATCATTTCCCGTAAAAGAATACAGGGTAGTGCTGATTGAATTTTACTTATATACTATGAATACAGAAGAATACAAATAGAGAATTTGCCTACCATATCCCCATAATGGTGCGATTAGTGGTCGGTCCCCAGACAGCTGACGATCAAAGGCTTTCCCGCTGCGCGTAGGGTGATCTGCTTTGCAGTTCATTTTTCGTCCGAAATTTTCCAACTTCCTGCTAGAATTGGCCTTTTGCACGTGCCGCAATGGCCACAGTGCCGCCCAAAAGAAAGGAAATTTACAAGTACGAGGCACCATGGACGCTATACGCCGCCAATTGGAGCCAAAGACCCGACAGAAGATTCCGGCTTGCGGTGAGTTTCAGCTTCAGCACGCCCTTTGTATATTTTTGCATGCCCCCCTCCCACCCTCCTGTTTATTTTTGTGCATTCAGTTATGCGACTGATGCAGAGAGCTAGGCTCGGGTTTTCGACATCTGGAAACAAATTGGGATTCTTGTATTAAAACACACACTGTGTTGCACAAGTTTTGATTTTCAAGCAGTGGATTTTCATTGTTATTTGTGTAATAAATTATTATGATGAGGCTAGCTTTGTTGTTGTTACTGAAAATATATGCTGGGGCATATGCACATAAAGATCCTCTCATATAGGGTAAAGTAGAGTAAATCTCTTCGGCCAGGTAGGAAGACCTCTTCAGTGTGGGTAGCTCTTCCCTTTACTTAATGGTCATTTCCAACTTGAGTTTACAATCCAATTCAAGGCCTTGTTGTAACTTTATCTATTATATATTACGTATCATCATGCAAAAGTATAGACTGCTATTAGATCTGTCATGATAGATTCTTCTGTGTCTTTATTTTCCAGGTGCTTTCTTTAATTACGTAGATATTTCAGTTTTTTTCTGTTTCACTATGATTATAAATCATGATTTCATCTCCTAAATATCTCTTATTATTCTGTCTTTTTATTTCAGTATTGACAAAATTTACATGATCAACATGTAGTTGAAGCCTAGAATTAATTAAACAGTTTGACGTACAATTACATGCTGAAGAGGTGCTTGTAAAAATTTTGGAACATTTATTGGCCCCCATGACACAGTACAGTACACAGAGCTTGACTGGACCACTAATGTCGGACAGTCCTTGACTGGACTCAGCCAGGAACTATCAGGAAAGCATCCTTGCTTCTATCTAGGAATGTGTTGCGATATGTATATTGTTGTCATTAGAATTTCAGGGCCTTTTGGGCTGTCATCGGTAATTCGTCAGCTGATGAGTCTTGGCAACAAGTTACAAACATGGCAGAGGCAAAACTTTGGGAAGAGATGTCTGGGATATCTGAAATGTGCATACCTTGTCGGATATTCATGCACATGCTACTATTGCATTTATGCATTTATGCATTACAAGTAGATCTTTGTTTTTATTTCCATGACATCCTTAGTACCCAAAAGAATTTGAAATTTAATTGACAGTTCATGTTATAGTAGGGGAATGTCATGCACCTGGAGCTTTTTACTTATGTTCTGTAGTTTTCATTTTAGGTTGGAAGTTTTCTGGAGGAATACAACAACAAAGTACAGGTCATCAGTTTGGATGAGTCGGCCCAGGAGCTGAAAGCTAGCAGCATGTTCGACCACCCATACCCATGCACCAAGATCATGTGGATACCTGACAATAAAGGTGGGTAAAACTAGCAGCATGTTCGACCACCCATGCCCATGCACCAAGTTCCATGTGGATACAATAGTAACATGAGTGATTGACAATTATTTGCTGTTGGTAGTTGCTCAATGCCATTTCTAAATTCATACCACATAAGCAAAATGTTAGACATCGAGAGATGGCCAGATTTTTAGGTCACGCATGATCATATGGCAATACAGTCATGTACATTTTATATCAGGGCCTGCTATTAGATCCAGACATGAGGACAACTGCTAGGTCAGGTCAGTATTGCGTGTCCCATGGCATCCATTAGCATACTGTAGTAGATACAAATGTGTGATACAACCAAGCAATTTGTCATTCCTGCTCTCTAAGGGATACTGTTACAGCTAGAGCTACAGTAAGAGAGCATTCCACATACATGTACTAGTACATACATGCACCATATGCCAAAACAGACAGGGGAACACTGCAATCAGCAAGTTTTTTTATCTCCTTGTCTATGTAAAAAAAACGGAATGCAAAATATGGAGTGGCAATATTGATGAAAATTGCAATAGGCCTTCAATCTGTGTTCCTGTCAGAGAGGTGTTTTGACTAATCTAGCAGAAATGGGCAGCCAGAGTAGAAAAACTAAGATTTTACCTCCCAACATCTGTTTAAAGAGTTACCTTTCACATACTAGCATTATCCCTAAACAGTTTCCCATTGTGTTTACATTAAAATTACAAGCAATTTCCCTTGAGCTCCAGATCATTTTCCCTGTGGTAATCTGTTCCCTGGTTCTGTTACCAAGTATGGAGAGCTGATTTGATAATTAATGATATATGATGTTTGAACCTCCAGCATTATTTACGAGGGAGACAACAAATGCCCATTAGCCTTCTAGGACAGCTCGGAATGTAGGCAGATTTGCCTATGTAGGAGGAGAGCTGTATCATTTGTAATTCTAGTTCAGACCACAATTGCAAAGGCTTTTCTTTAATACAATAACAGTTGATAGTTGTCAATACGTTCCTACATGTATGTAGGTGATAAATCGTTCAACCACTAACTTAAAACAATGTGAAAACAGATTTTTCCCTCCTACCACAATTTGATTTTAAACAGAAAATATATGAATTTACAGTAGTATATGACTGTAAATACATTTCAGCAAAGTAAATGCTTATCTTGTTTCACGCTGATTAGCCCATGACTAAAATAGCGTTTTCTAGATAAAAATAGTGTATGTGTGAAACAGTTATTGGTACAGCTTATGATGATGATGATTCATAAACACACATAAACAAATAAAAGTCTGTGGCAGCCAAATTGGCTGAATTGGCGACTTCTTACAATTTACAATTTAAATCTTACAGTTTATAAATATAGCCCTAACAGCTTATGAATATAGCCCTATGTTGCAATGAGAATCATGTAGCTTCCAGCCAGAGAGCCTCTGGAATTGAAGCGGTGTCCATAGGGAAATCACAGTCTCACACCCCATGTAGCCATTAACACCCAGACGGACAGCGTTCAATTTGGTGGTGTGAAATATTGCGATCAGTATCAGGAGCCATTATATGTGTACATTATGAGGGTCTGGACATGTGTGTTTAGCACTTCATTCATAATTATATGCTTGGATTTTATGTCATCATTCCATCTGTTACTGTTACAGAAAACTTATTGTAATGTTCCTGGCAGTTTATTTTTGCAGTTTCATGTTAACTTCTCAACATTGACGGCACAAGTATGCGTATGGTATGCGTTGCCCGGCTATATGATTATGCAAATTAATGACTTGCATGATTTATGCATAACAGTATTATTTATTATTGTGTAATACAGGAATCTTCCCAGACCTTCTGGCCACGAGCGGTGACTACCTGCGTGTGTGGCGGGCGGGAGAACCAGACACGCGGCTGGAATGTCTACTGAACAACAACAAGAATTCCGACTTCTGCGCTCCTCTCACCTCCTTCGACTGGAATGAAGTAGATCCCAACCTGATAGGGACGTCAAGCATCGACACTACATGTACAATATGGGGGCTAGAGGTATGTTTTAATTAGACATCTGTTTTCTGTAAAATGATTATTTCCAACTTGGCACAGACTGTGTATAGCAGTAACAAATGTATGCCAACTACTACAATTAAGTGGAAATTATTTCTAAAGCTTAATGCTAACGTAATAATTTTGCCAGGTACCCTGAGACTAAAAATGTGTCCATACATGTACCTTGGAGGTTCTGCATTAGCAGATTTTTTCAGATTTCACTTTTAATATTGCTTTCTTTGCATACATGGCAGAATTATGACAGTAGACTTGATACTCATATTTTTAATTGATTTAGTGAGTGTTATAAATCAATATGTATATACATGTAGATATTTTTTAATGCTGTAGTCTTATTGTCCATGTTTACATGTCAGCACCTGACCCTGTGATAATGTATTTCAAACTCTCTCTGTCATAGACCGGACAGGTGCTTGGCAGGTGTAACCTGGTGTCTGGGCATGTCAAGACGCAGCTGATAGCACATGACAAGGAGGTAATGTCTCTTAATCTTACAGTATACATGTCTAGAGTCCAATTCTAAGTCATCACTAGTGTTGTTATTATTATCATTAACAGGTGATGCAGATTTCAACTTTCTAAATATTTCCTGTCCACATACATATTCCCACATACAGCCACAGAAAACTTCAACTTCACAGACTAAACTAAGCGTGTCTAGATCTATGGAGATTTCCCTTTTTGCATTGTATTGATGGGATAGTAAATGTCTGTTGTTTATGTTCCAGGTGTACGATATAGCGTTCAGTCGAGCAGGGGGTGGCAGGGACATGTTTGCGTCTGTCGGCGCCGACGGTTCGGTACGAATGTTTGACCTCCGACACCTGGAGCATTCCACAATCATCTACGAGGATCCCCAGCACCACCCACTGCTGAGGCTATGCTGGAACAAACAGGTAGGGGGCGCAACTTACTGGAAATCTGGATGTGGTTGTTTTTGTAGTGACCTCTCCACTCTCTACCTGTGCAATATCTCAATCGGGATGAGTGCTTGCTTTATAACTGGGAGGTCTGTGAGTTCAAACCCCGGCCGGGTCATACCACAAAGACTTTTAAAGTGGTACATACTGCTTTCTCTGCTTTGCACTCAGCATCTATGAAAAGGTCAAACTAACAGTGGGCTATCTATGTAAATGGTCACCCCATGCTCAGCATGGAGTGGAATGGGACGTTGAACTCCACTCTCTGCTGTAAAATGACTGATGATTTCTTGTTGTGTTCCCGTCTAGGACCCTAATTATCTGGCCACGATGGCGATGGACGGGATGGACGTGATCATCCTGGACGTCCGTGTCCCATGCACGCCGGTCGCCAGGCTGAGCAACCATCGCGCCTGTGTGAACGGGATCGCGTGGGCACCCCACTCATCCTGCCACATCTGCACTGCTGGTGAGTACACATGATTTAACCTTCCCCCTGCTGACATGTTATCTAACCAATGCATTATTTTGGTGTATGGCTAGGTCTGCAGCAGGATGAGGGTTAAAAATCTCACAGAGCACACTCACCATTAGTCGGGGTCTCTGCTAAGTTCTAACAGTCATTTTGATAGCTGAAATTTCAGGTCTACATCTGCAATCATAGCAAAGGTGGATATTTTGAATTTCCACCTTTTGTGTCGCTGATACTTGTTGTAGAGGAGTACCTGTATTTAGAATTAGAGCATTTTAAGGACTGGTCAACATGATTCAATTGTTTCTGTCAGTCCAACTGCAGGTATAAAGTGAGAGAGAGATATGCAGCATCAGTAATACCACAGGATGGCAAATTTGAGATAGTGAAGTGTTTATAACACTGTATAAAAAGCATTGGTAACCATGCGTTCAAACACAACAAGGTCAAACCTTCCTGTCCCATATTGGGAGAATTGCACAACAGTGCTGTTTGCTGAATATGAATTACATGTCATAGCTGCTTCTAGCTCAACACAATCATTCACAACAAAGACAAATAAATAAAGTTTGCTTTGCTGACCACAACTGGACATAAAGTGTTGTCAATCATCTTTTGCACATTGTCTTAGTTGTAGTTATTAAGTAATAGTTATTAGAAACCACAAATTTTTAACCAAATCCCAAGTCCCAAATTTTCACGGACTCTGAGACAGAGGACCCCAGTAGCATGTGATAAGTGACTAATCTATTTCTGTGCCTAATAGACAATGATCGTCAGGCACGTATCTGGCACACACAACAGACGGCCCGCGCTGTCGGGAACCCCAACAGGGCATACAGAGCAGGTGAGATGAACAGACAGGCACAAATACAACATGCAGCAAAACTAGACAAAAACAAAGGAAATTTGGTCTATTTCTCATCAGTTTCCAGTGGGAAAAAAGATTTCAGTGTCCAAAAAAACAGGTTGGTTTTGGTGCATGTCATCCATTTCACTTGCTTCGGCTTTGTATGTCATGATGGGGGCCTCGCCATATCACCTGAGAAGTCTGTTGTAGCTTAGATTGTGCCTGACAAAACTGTCTATCTATAGACCTGACCTAACACTGTTAGTAACTGTTCTTAATTTATCAACCATAACCATGTACTCAGTATGTAAGAAAAAATTTGGTATTGCCTTAAACCAGTATCTTATAACCAACAGCTTAAAAATTCAGCTGTGTTTTTGGTGGTAGAATTGATTTTGTAAGATTTATTTGTAATTTCCAACACAAAGGGAAATTGGTCCAAAACTTTCTGCTAACCTGCACTAGCTATTGTCAATGAATCATTTATGCAGATAAATTCCATATATATGGCAGGTGTTTGTTTTTGCATTACAGCTGATCCTGTGAAATCATTCATATGAACACTTGACCTTCAATAAAGCTGTGAGTGGCAGGGTTCAAATGATGTCTAGTTTTGCAGGATAACATTTTTATCTGAGCAGTTCAGAGTCTTCAGACCTTCATCCATAAGACTATTAATATTATTACCTACTCAGGCTGACTCTGTACAGGTTTAACTTTGGTTCAGTTCAAATCACAGATGTCATGATTTTGTCCTTCATTACTAATCACAGTATCTTCTAACCAGATTCCTCCTCATCATGCACTCATAGGGAATGACAGAATGATTTTGGTCAGCAGGAATCAAGATATTTTCAGCCAAAATGGGCTAACAGCACCCAAATAGTTGTGGACCCATCCCACTCCCTAGTTCTCTTTGTGTATGCAACCGTTTTTTTGAAATATTCAGTTTTATTTAGTTCATCCATGGGGTGACACTGTTGAAGTGTTTGAAAAGATGTGCTGGTGTAAGTTAGTTCGATGCAAGATATTGTTTGCTTGCTGAAATAATAAACCCATTGAAACATTTAGTTCTAATGTCTTGCAATAATTTGGATATTGAATAATTCTCAGAATGATGAGGATCAAACTCCTGATTGTTTCTTTAGACTTGGTTATCATAATATTTTAAGGACCTTGTGAATCGGCACTGTCTGCTATGTTTTGGTAACTATTCTTCTGCCAAGTTACTAATTTAATGGTACCAGGCTTTTCAACAAGGAAAGCAATATAGGAGGAATAAAGTGAACAAAAGTAGGGTAGATAGCAGGCCAAATTGGTCCACCGTGAACTTAATTGGAACTAGCTTACAATATGACACACAGACAGCTCCTCTCTTTAGGAAGGGTGTGACTATTAGTATTATCACAGAACTTGAATGTTCAAAATCCTTTTTCCCTCGTTTTAGGAGACGACCATCAGGCGCTGATCTGGGACATACAGCAGATGCCCCGCGCCATTGAAGACCCCATCTTGGCGTACACGGCAGAGGGCGAGATCAACCAGGTCCAGTGGTCGTCCAGCCAGCCTGACTGGATCGCTATCTGCTACAACCGCTGTTTGGAGATCCTGAGGGTGTGACAATGACTGCAACTGGACGCTTATTTTTCTTTCGTTACCTTTCCATTATTATATTTTATCATGATGCTGTTCCCTACTTATACATGCAAACCATTGCAAACACCAAAAGCAGGCTCCACTCCAGAGGTGTTGCCAAAGAGTATGGTGTGACAAGGTACAGCTAATTTGAATCCAGTGCCATTTTACATGCAATCATATTTTAAATAATCATATGTTAGTAAAAATGTGCATGTCAACTTGCAATGTTTGGGGGATTTAACCCAAGCCATATGTTGTAGTCTTGGTGCAGTGGGCAGATGTACAAAAAGTGCCATCAACTTTGCAGAATTGGAGATATTCAAAGCCCACTGGTTAGTCAAAGTTAAATTATACTTACATGGAGACATTGTCCTCCAGTCTTTAAAAGAACCATCTTTGAGGCTTTTTTCCTAGCCATTCATTCATCAAATCATTTGTTATGAATTCAAAGATCATATTATACTCAGTATAACGTGCCATTGTATCATGCACTGAAGATCTGGAATTGTAAAAAAAGGAATGAAAACCAAAGATTCCATTTGCACTGAGACCCTTTCTAGCGATGCCAGCGCCAAGAAGGAAGCAATACTGTGTGCAAAACTATGTAAATATCTTAAGCCTTGGTGGCTGCAGCAGATTTTAGAACTGCGTTTTAACAACAGTAGTGCCATGTCTAAATTGCATGTTTTTAGTTACCCAAACTTGAAGTATATTTGCTGTAATAGTTGATTTAAATGTTCTACAAAGAAGGTAAAATGCAAGTAGCTATAGAGTTCACCTTAACATACATTGTACAGGAGTTGAAGCATACTACATGTATTATAACATCTACAAATGTAGTCCTTTCAATTGGTATGTTGTTGTGTAGTACTATACATTGTATGTCTTCCTGTACTTAGTACTTGTGTGATATTTGTATACTATTAGTGCTTGACTAGGGAATGGAGTCATGTACTTTGTTGTAAGGGTTTAGAGTTGTCTGTTTGGATAACTTAGTCACTAATAAGTCATCTTTGTAAGCAGGATAGCATCAGGTCACGTTGGCATGACATTTTTTGTTTAATGGAGTAATTAAGTGGAGGATATAAGGTGGAAAATCATGTTCCTAGATAAGAACCTAATGTGATTTTGTAAGTTTCTGGTGCAAGATATTTAATAGCCTGTGCTTAGAACAGATGTGATATGCTATATTACATGAAGGCACAACCAGACTCCAGGAAGTAGACTTCAGTGTAGGAAGATTTTAACTGTCTGTCTTTAGAAATACAGCTAAACCTTTTTTACATGAATGTAAGGTCCTATTTAGAATCTTTTGTAATGTACAGGGAACAGTTGTCAGGTTGAACAGTGAAGGATTGTTGATTCTAAGAATGGTTTCATCAGGTTTGTAAATCACTGGAGAATGAAGTTCTCTATACACAACCAGAGAGTTAACATCTACCCGATGTTTTCTTCTATCTGACAGATAAATATCAAAATGTTGGCTAGGTATCAATTATCTGGTGGTGTACAAAGAACTTATCCAGGAAATGTTTTATCCAGAAAAGTGCCATGTTTTGGGGAGTGCATGATGTTTCAGTTAACGTGTTGATGGTTTGTTTCACTACCACTTGTAAACATGTCCATTGGGAGAATGCAGGTGCTAGGTAGACGTGGGAAGAAAGAGGAAGAAAAAAATGTGTGATGTGAGGTAGTGTTCCGTGTAATGCATTGTAACTGCCCATCTGTTTTCACAAAAAGCTGTTCTTTTGTGTTGAGAAGTTTGTTGTATGTGTAAGTAAGTGTAGCAAAGCCTTCATCACAGTAATAATCTCTGTCATGCTGAAATATTTGTTGCCATAAACATTGTAAGTTATATTCATTGCTTTGCAATCAAGTTAATGTACAACAACAAACTTACATAGAACTCCATGTAGCAGAGTTCTATATGTAACCAACTTGATATCTATTTTAATGCATTAACTTATACATGGTTTGTATGTTATCAGTGCACTTTCAATAACACTAGGAAAGTGGAGTTTTATGTTGTAGCTGCAAATGCTAGTGGGAGTATTGATGTCTAAGTTCTCAAATTTCTATATTATATTTACATTTGGTTAGTTGGATATTAAGTTGCTACATGTGTTTGTGATGGAGAGAGAGAGAGGGGGTGGCATAAACAGCATTTGCCATGATATGGCTTGGGTATGCCTTGTACAGTCAAATGTAAGGGGACATTTTTTTATTAAATCGTAAGAAATAAACCTGTGAGTGGCTTGGTGTCATGAAGGTTACTGGTTCCATGGCCTCAGCAGAGTAGGGCAGTGACTTAATATCGAAGATTCTCCCCCTGTATCCACATTATATGGGTGCAAATTGTGCTTGAATGCATAGGCCACAGAACAAGTCCCATTTGGATTCGAACTCAGGACCCCAAAATTCCGAGTCTGGCAACATAAAATATAACCGCTATAGTGCACGATCATGCGTGTGTGCGAGGGTGTACATGTGTGAGTTATGCGCATACAGTCTCAACTAAGAATGACAAACACAGGCTCACTGAACTATTTCTTTGTTTCATTACGGAAACATTCACACCATCCAAAGTTCTTTTAGTGTTGAGTAAAAATTAACATTGTGACAAGTAATTAACAGTCTGATAATTGTGATGACTAAATGGTTATATACTGCAGTACTATGCTCCCCTGATACTGGAGGCTTTCGAACACATTTGGGGGTTCAAGCAACAAAAAGAGACCATAATTTTCCTTTCGAAGACGGTGAATAACAACGATAATGACAGTTTACAAACATGCGAATATCTACCTCAACAAGTCGGTAACAGCCTTGGACTGAGAAAGCAGCATTGTTGTCGCAAGAAAACAAATGGCGAGTACCGCCACGACAAGTACCGTCGTGCAGGTTAACATGATGTCCTTCCACGAAGTCTTCCCGTTTGCATTAGCGTTCTGCCGGGCTCTATTCCTCCGTAGGATGAATCGGCGTCTTCTTGGTGAATATTCCCTTTCCCTCCGAAGATAGAGGTAAACTCTCTCCCAGTCGGCTCCATCATCGTCCTCCTCTCTTCTCCTGACGAAGATGGAAGGATGTCTCAAATGTTCTTTTGCTTTGCCCGGCCGCAGTCTTCTCGAAATAACTCGTTGTTTCGATCTCGGCAGAGGTGGCATCCCTGGTCTTGTGTCGTCAAGAGTCTTGCGTCGCCGCATCATTCGGGGCATGGTTACACTACTCTCTTTCCCAGAACTGTAGACTGGGTTTCTTTGGCACTGGAATTGTAAACTTCTACGAATATCTCGCTTGGGTAACTAAGCCCAACCCCGGGTGATGAAAAATTCCTCGCGGGGATGGTTGGTCCTGTTGCCGACGAGCTGGCCTGTGTACGCCCCTGCAACAGTCTGGAATCTGTGTTATCTTTGCACAATAAGTACAAGATAATCTGCAGTGAAGTTTCTGATGTTATTGGCGAGAAGCGCGACTTCTTGCAATGGTCTTCCAAGCGGTAGACTAGCGAGTCCCGATGAAGTAGAACAAAAGACTCACGACGTAACAAATTCTGCGATGAAAGTACATGTGCTAGTAAGTCAAACAACGTGAAATGCTCTGTGCAGATGACAAAATCACTGCAGCACTGGCATCTAAATGAGTTACCGAATCAACTCTTTCACTGTGACTTGAAAGAATACATCATGTGACGAATCTAATGGCAGTATCTAATCAAGTTGAGTGGCCACTTATCTTCGTCTTAATCACGAGCTGATTGTTGCGAATGGTCACTTACTAGTATGTGATATCTGTGTTAATGTAAATCAATGCTAATTACCGTGATCCAATGGAAGTGCTGATGAGATACATTGCCCGAGGGTATAAGTGTCCGAGTTATGGGACAACCGTGATGGACCAACTGTGTTATGTTTCTTCAACCTCTGCAATTTTGGTAAAATTCTCAGAAATTTGCTTCACCGTTTACACAACGAATGCCTCCACTACCTTGCATTTTTTTAGATTGTCAAGATTGTCACAACTTGTCAGAAAATGGACAGCAAAAAAAATTATTTCACAGTCACAGTGAGAAGCGATCAAAGACATCGAGGAAGGCGCCAGACTTGAACTTGTCTTGTTCCAGCAGGGTGAGCAGGTGCTTCGCAGAATCGTCCGGGCTCAAGATCATTCCTTTGGACTCCATAGCATTAAATCTAGAAAGGAGAAGTGTTTACGCATTTATTTCCTCGAAACCAAACATTTACACTTACATTGGTATAACATGCTCATTGTTCGCCCTTATTTCATGCTCACCGCTTGTGTACCCTGGCGTACAAGCGTTAAAGCTGGTCAGCCGTCAGCCAATCAGATATTTCCCCCCCTGGTGTTGAAGCACGTGGGAAATTTAACAGTCAATCACGTCGCGTCTAGCTTCCTAGCAACTTTTCCCTTCACTGGTAACGGGACCAGTTGTATCATATTGATATTAGCGATGGGACGGATCGCAGGCCAGTATGCCAGGGCCGTTGCTTGAGATACGTGTCATAAGTGGATGATATTGTCATGAGTCGTCTGCAACTTAAAAACAATACGAAAATTTAATACGCGACGCATCGGCCGTTTGTTACAGGAAAAGGGAACTCTAGCCTTTCATTCACCTGTAACGCACTACGACACGTTACAATAAGGTCGACGTCGCTCACCAAATTAAAATTGAGATCAATAAGGCCCTAGCTAGACGCCATCCGGGTGCCATATTGTATATATACTTACCTGTCTTCAACCTGTTTGTCTCCGCACGACCTGACTGTCCGTAACATCTCCGTGTCCAGCGGGCCCGGGGAGTAGCTGAGCACGCGCACATCGGGCTCCTCCTCAGCCAGCACCTATATATATATATATATATCAATGGTTTATTTCAATAACATACACCTGCGGCAAAGCAAAAGAGTGTTTTGTCATATCAAAAATATAAAAAAATTAAAATTTGGCACGGACGCATGTAAAAAAAGGGTACCGTTCAACTCCATGCAGAGCATAGGGCCGGTATAAATTGCTGCTAGTATTGCTTTTAAAATTGATTAGAAAATGCTGTACTGGCTGCTGGCACCGGTGTCACATGATATTAATTTTAAGGCAGAATCATTGGCCAGTTTTTGGGTGAATGTACATTGTACTAACCTTGAAGAACATGTTCCTGGCCGCCTTGCCGCTACAGTACAGGGAGTTGTGGACTAGAGGTTCAATGGCTGCTGCAGAACTGATGTTTACAACAGTTCGTCTGACGGCTGAGCCCGAGAAGACCTAGTTTGAACAAGTCACCAGTCCGGAATTGTTACTAAAACCATCTACGATCTTTACAGTTCAGTTTATTTACTATGTTTTAAATCATACTACGATTCTAGACATCAAATATTCCATTTCTTTCTTTCTTAAGGCAAATTGCATGCGTACAAAACTTCTGGTAAAATTTGGACTTCTATAGCTGATGGCTAATGATTAATAATACTTTGTAATGATTTGTGACGACATGGTCATGGGTCGGTCATCTTGAATGAGTCAGCCCAATTCAATACACAATTAATAGACATCTGAAACCTGTATACACAATGGAACGTTATCTTCACATCAAAGACTTCGATGTTAGATCAGCCATATGTAAGCTTAGAGTTAGCGCTCATACATTAGAAATAAAAAAGGGTAGATACAAACAATTGCCTGTTAACGACAGAATATGTAAATATTGTACAGGAAACGCAGTGGAGGATGAAATGAACTTTATTTGTCATTGCTCTCATTATAGCACCGAAAGAGATCAGTTATTTGAAATGGTCACCAAAATGTCCCCCAGCTTTATTCACCTTCCCAGCCTACAAAAAACTGCATTTCTATTAACACCTCCCAATTCATATATCTCGCAAAACGTCGGCCATTTCATACTCCACTGCACACGGAAAAGAAATCAAACCCAACAATAACTACAAATGTATATATAAAGTAGCATTAGCATCACCTATTATCATTCTACTGTTTACTGTTGTTATCATGTTCTTGCAATTAGCCCTCGGGCATGAATTTGCAATAAACTTTCATTTCATTAAATCTTAAATCATTAATTCAATTGGAAAGCCTAAACAATTACAATTTAAATTGGAATGCCATGGCGTCGGTAACGTCCTTACGCCAACCCTTGTGAAATCATTGGAAACGCACCTGCATGAACTTGGCCGTCAGAGCGATGACGGACGTCAGGTTGGTGGCGTAGTACTTGTTAAGAATCTCAGCATCAGAATGTTCCGCTGCCTTCTTTCTCAAGTCGCCCAGGGTTCCCGCGTTGTGGATTATCAGAGCATTCTTAAAAGCACCTATACGTACCGAGATATAGCATACTAAGGTAATAATGTGGAATGAGAAGATTTTGAATTAACAAGAAATTCCCTGATACTGAGCTTTTGATGGAAATGCGTTTTTTTTTCTTATTTTTGAAACCAGCGTAACTGCCATAACTAAGGCCAAAGCAAGTAATTTTTATGAATCACATTAGAGCGCGCATTAATTTTCGTCTGATTTTGGGGAAAAAAACAAGAAATTTTGTTGCCCTTTTACAGTGGTCAACATGCCAAAAATGGGCAAAGATGTTGTAATACTTGGCAATTAACGTAGCACAATATAGGAGCTGAATATAGGTACCATTTCTTGTTTATCAGGGCTTATGATGTCAAAATATCAAAATTGACTTGCCTTACGGAGAGAAGAACCGTTAGTGAAATCTAAACACTGTGGGTCCTGTGGACATCACTCGCACTTATGACAGGTATTAATGCTTTATTACCTTTTAAAATGCTGAAAACTGGCATTTTTGGAATCATGATTGTACTTAGATTTGTACATCAGTATATTCAGTACCGTGACTCGCACGTCACCATACATTGTACCTGGTTGAACGTCCGCTAGGATGTCGAAGAACAGTGCGGGGTAGGCCGTGGTGTCCTCCATGTCTCCCGTCACCAACTTCACCTCCAGCTGGTTCCGGCTCTTCTCTTCCACCTGCCGTTTGGTCTCCTGTAGACCCTGGAGCGAGCGGCCGGTCAGCACCAGGCGGGAGCCCTCCCCCAGTCGCCCCGCCAGCTGCACGGCGATGCTCCGGCCCAGCCCCCGGCTCCCTCCCGTCACGGCGCAGAACGTAGCGGGGCCGAACACGCCTGACAGACCTGCAGACGCCATGACTACACCTCGCACTCCTTGTAGATGCACCTACGAAAATTTCACAAGCATTACATAAAACAGGTGCGGGCTTTGAACGAACTAACCTTTGTACTTTGATCTCATGGACATTGATTAGCCAGCGAGCATATTGACGCCTTGAGGTGACA